TTATATGTTTATTTTTTATACAAATTTACAAAATCTTTTTATTTTTTAAACATGTTAAACTAACTTTTAATTTTTAGGCATATTGAGTCATAATATAATTTTTAAAATAATTTGCGGTCATTTCCATTGTCTTTATATATAGTATACAATTCTCTAATTAACTATATATGTTTAATTTTTATATATGATATCGAAGATTAATCATACAATAGATGGTTTAACATGCCAAAAATATTATATGCTAAGTGAATATAATATGATCAAGTATTACAAGTACATCATTTAATAAAATAAATAATCAACAACCGGAAAATCATAGCGCGCGCGGGTCGAGGTCTAGTTTTTTTTTAAAAGGGTAAAAAACAATTTAAACAAGAAGCGTCACAATGCATGAGAAAATTTAATAACTGGACTGTCTTTAGGTTTAAGACATTTATTACTCATATAGTCATATATATGTTTCCAATCTCAGTTGTGGACCCTGCTCCTAGTTTGCTATTAACCATACTCAACTAACCATAGTTAAATCATCAATCTTGAACTCTGTCCTTTGAATTTTAATTTTAAATACATATATTTATTGTTCATATTTATTAATTTTTTATATCTCCTATTAATTATTTTATTCTATCTTAGCAACATTCATCACCAGATTCACCATCATCTTATAACATCTTCCTCTTCTTCCAAAAGTTATTTTTTCTTAAACATATTAAAATAAAAAAAGCCATATCAAATGATCTCCAAAAGCTGATTAGCTCTCTTTATCCCTCTCTTCTTCGTTTCCAGTTTTATTCTCAATTCTAAACTCTTGTTTTGAGCTCTAACCTAAACCCTAATTCCTTGTTCAAGATTATCTTGAAAAAGAAGAGAAGCCAATAGATGCTTGAAGTTGGAGCAATGGAAATGACTCCCAAATCTCCTGAACCCGAATCCGAAACTCCAACCCGGATCCAACCAGCCAAACCAATCTCCTTCAGCAACGGAATCATCAAACGCCACCACCACCACCACCCAATCACCGTCACCTACAAAGAATGCCTCAAGAACCACGCGGCTGCGATTGGCGGTCACGCGCTCGACGGTTGCGGCGAGTTCATGCCTTCTCCTACCTCCACACCTTCCGATCCAACTTCCCTCAAGTGTGCCGCCTGCGGTTGCCACCGTAACTTCCACCGCCGTGACCCTGACGACTCCTCACTCACTTCCGCCGTACCTCCACCGTCTCTCCCTCCGTCTTCCACCACCGCTGCCATCGAGTACCAGCCTCACCACCGTCACCACCCTCCTCCACCAGCTCCTCATCCTCTCCCTCGCAGCCCTACTTCCTCCTCTCCGCCACCTATCTCCTCCTCTTACATGCTCCTAGCTCTCTCCGGTAATAACAAACCCGGAGGAAACAGCTTACCGTTCTCAGATCTCAACTTCGCAGCAAACAATCTCCCCTCTCACCACCACCACCAGAACCATACTCCTGGCTCCCGGAAGCGGTTCAGGACGAAGTTCAGCCAGAACCAGAAAGACAAGATGCACGAGTTCGCAGATAAGATCGGGTGGAAGATTCAGAAACGTGACGAGGAAGAGGTGCGCGAGTTCTGCCGCGAGGTCGGTGTTGATAAAGGCGTGCTCAAGGTCTGGATGCACAATAACAAAAACACCTTCAACAACCGCCGTGACCAGCCCTTCTCCGGCGACACCACCACCGTCCAGAGCATCGACAACGTTGTCGTAGCCGTTAGCGATAACAAGAATAATAATATTAATAATACTAACGCAGACAGCGTTGGCGTTCACGGTGGAAACGGTTTAGAACACCGCGGCGGTGACGGGAGGTTTGAGAGTGATAGCGGCGGAGCTGCGGCTAATGGATCGTCGTCTACGTCGTGAAGGAGAGAGGGAACTGTTGTTGTTTTTGCAGGGAAAGAGGAATAAAGAAGCTTAAGCTTTTGTTTAGCTTAGATCATAGAGTAAGCACTGCTATTATCATCGTTAATACGTTTATTATAATTAATTAAACTCGTTTTTTTAGATCTTTTTCTTCTTTTTGTTTTTTTTACTACTATTAGTTTGTTTTCCGACATTACCATGAACTTGTCTTAAGGAGGTAATAATATAACACGTTCAGATGTTCATATAATCTTTCCATGCAAGTGAAGTTTGTATTACTAACTAATAACCCGATTCAGTAACTATACCATAAATCGACTTTTGGTAAATCGGATGAACCCTAATTAATAATTGAATGCAATTTTTAATAAATTTTATTTAATGAGTAATATTGTTTGGCTTCTTATCTTGAAAGTACTTTGTCGCTTAATTTAATATGCGATCGAACTAAGATCTAGGTGTCCTTTTCGTAAATCTGTCTTTATTCTTTGTGAAAAGAGACAGGTAAATGTATTAAATATGAATTATTATGTATTATTTTAGTATCCAATGATTAGTCATATTTTGTTTATTTGAACCCAAGATTCATTGGATAATCAAAGATTAATTTCCTCATTAATCCATATTCCTCACATCCCTACATTCCCACTATCCGCTTTTAGTATATATGCTCAAGTTTCGTTATTCTTAAAGTTAAAGTACAAATAAACAAGGCATACCAAATCTAATTAGGATCTAACTATTAATATTAAAGTGCTATATAGGGGTTTAGGGCGTGGAGCTAATCATTAACTTTACGAATAATCTAAATAACTTTCCATTTGGGAAACGTAGAGATGCAGTTGTGATTATGCGATGGACTTAAGACAACTTAGATACTAGTCGTGATTAACAAATGTCGGCTTACCAAACAAAACAAGCATAAAATATGTAATTAGATTAGACTATTGGGTTTATGTCCGAACGGTGTTTGTTGATACTAATATTGATGAACAAAATAAAATATACTTTGCCATTATTTTACTCAATTCGTGAAGTCACGAATCTCTTTTTCGTGGTGGGGACATGACTTTTAACAGAGGCTGAGGTTATGGCCCTAACTGCCATGTACCATGTGCACAGTGCACCACTTCTAATTTGATTTTATTTTTCTGACGTAACTAATACTATTAAAATGGTACCTTTCCATATTTTATTTTATCATACAAGTATTTTTGGAACATTTCGCTGTCTGTATATATATATATGGTATGTATGATAATAATACCTAGGTCGACCTAATTTCTTGAATTAAATCTTAGTGGGATATAGACTTTGATAGGAAAGGGCCAACCTGCTGAAATGATGCTGCTATGCATTTTACCAATCTGATGAAACGCTATTTACATTCAACAGTTCTCTATTATAACATCATTATCGAAGAGTTTCTTATAAATATAAGAGTAATACTCGTTATAATTTGTGTTATTTTTTTAAATGAATAAATAATAAAGGGTATTTTATTAATCTTTTTAATGAACGAATAATAAAAAGCAAGTGTGTAACTGTGTACACAACTTCAAAAGAATTAATAAGACTGTAACTGTTTGCGTGAGTTTTATATTTTAATTTTTTTTTATTTTTAGTGATTTTGCAGTATATTTAAGTTTTTTTAGTGTTGATAGTGATTCTAGATTTTAGATTTTTCTTTGTTTTTGAATTTTAGTTTTCTTTTCTTTTTTTATATTTTCTAATTGATTAGTGGTTATTATTTTTATGTCTTGTTGTTTTTTGTTACACTTATATGTTAATTTCGTATTTTTTTTTAAAAAAAAAACTTAAACTTACTAAAGAATCTATTACAAATTTTCAATTAGTAATACCGAGAGATTATCAACAAAATATGTAAATTACACATAGAAGTAATTTGTAGATAATTATTTATTTTATTGACAAGTTTAACAATGTTATTAATATAAATTATTTCCGTATTATAAATATTAAACAAATGATTTTTAGAGAACTTTGTTTTTTATAGTAGTTAGAATTTTGTTTTGTTTTCTGGTTTAATGCATAAATATAACAAAAATAATCTAAAAGGAAAGAAAATGAAAAAAAAAACTATGTTGAATTGATACAAAACCAGAAACAAACTTTGATTTTGGTTTTTGTTTTAAATAGATAGTTATTAGAAAATTATTTTTTTTTTATAATCTTTTAGGTAATCTATATCTAAAATATGAAGATCTAGATGAAAAATAGTTTTTGAAAAAAAACTAAATTCAAAAACTAATTTAAAATCATAAACAATCAACACCCAAATCTCTTGTGTGATAATCAAGCTTACAGTTTTCGCATGGCTGTAGATTTGAAATAAATTGTGCATCTGTGATCAACTTATTTTAGCATATCATCCTTACAGATTTTTTTTTTTTTTAACACTGTTAATTATGCATTATAAACTATGAGAAATATTACATAGACGATATTACAGCCGATAATTCTACCTGTCTTATGCGGATTCACGTCTGACTGCATCACCATGAGCTGTCCTATGAGATCCATTCCTGACGGTACTACTTGTGTCATGCTGAAGATCTCTTGTAAGTCTCTTCTCCTATCTTCATAATTCGTCATTCATCTTCTCCGGGAGTTGAAACCCTTTTTGGTGTAGAAACTACATAGCCTGGGATTCGAACCCCAGACTTGGTGTAGAAGCCTTTAGACCTTAACCACTAGAATACGATGTTTCATTATTTTTACAACAATAATGCTACATATTCTTTTGGGGGTTGCCTGAATGGTATATTTAAAGTAAAATGAAATAAGTGGAAACTTATTTCCGCTCATTTTCTCTAATTAAATCTTCTCTCAACTTTTATGAGATGAAAAAGTTTTCTCGAACTTTATCATTTTCCTTTTTTTTTTCTTTTTCTCATTTTACTTTATTTTTTCATCTATTTAGTCCACTTCGTAACCAATCACACTCTTGGTTCTTCTCGCACATTTTTACCACATGCTACGTAAATCTTATTTATATAAAATTAAAATGTCACGTAAGTCTTGCAAACGAGAATTTTAATTAATTTTTAGATGCAGAAAAGAAGCACGAAATGGGATAGCATAAACTGGCAAAATGCTTATTCGAAGAAAATTGAGGTTTTTTCAATAAAAGAAAAAAAAAGTTGAGATTTGGGGAATCAGAGACCAAATCGTTTGTATCTTTTCCCACTCCTTTTGTATTATAAATATTTTTTTATTGAATGAAAAAATATGCAATCTATGAACATTATCTAGATAACATCTTATAGTTGGAAATCATCAAGTAGAGGACCACGTAATTTTTTTTAGTCGGCTATCCATTTTCTTAATTAAACCAAGTTTTGATCAGATAAAATATTCCTTTGAATTTTTCAAAAAAAAAAATCTTCCTTTGATAAACACGTCTATCAAATTATGTCTAATTTATATGAGAGAAATGACCACATAATTACACAAAAATAAAACAAACTATTAAATAGGGAGGTCAATTGTACTTAACCATTACTAGCTAGTTCATAAATTAAACTTGAAATTATACATATAGAATATAATTAAAAATTTGTCCTTGTCTTAAATTTGTATCTTTATCATTTGCCTACAAAATACTAGAATTATTCATTTAAGTCAGCATATTTATAAATTTGTAACGTTTTAAAGAGCTAACAAATTTGTAAACAATCTATTCTATTAAAACAAAAATACAAAATAATATTAACATATTTTAAGTATTTTTATAATATTTTCATGATATTTTATTTATTATTTTTTCTAAATAAACACTTCATTGATTGTAATAATTTAATTTATTTTTTTACCTAAATATGAAATCCAGATGAATTTGTATTTGATGTATAAAAACTTTAAAATATCAAAAAACTAATATATCCAATGGTTCAGATAATTATAATTAAAAGTAATCATATTACTGACTTGGTTCGAGTATTTTAAATCAAAACCAAAAATAATCTAAAAACAAATAACCAAAAGTAACCATATTATCTGATGTATAACAATTTAAAAATATTCAGTTAATTATACAATGACACATAAAATATATAATATTAATTATAAAAAAACAAAATATTCATTTATAAAAATATAAAATTTAACATCCACATGGACGTGCATATCAATCTCTAGTTAGTATTATTTATCAAGGTCAATTTTAGATGATATATATATGTTGATATTTAACAGAAATAATATTATTGATAATAGTATTAAATGGGGAATTATGAGAAAACTTTGGAAATGTCTTTCGGAATAAAGATTATTTCACTTTTATGTGGTCCTTTTTCTGAAACCACTTATACCTTATTTTTGTCTTGTCAAGGTTTGTCTTCAATGCGCTTCATTTCTTTTAACCTTTAATCCACCACACGATAATTAAACACGTTTTATGCTACGTGAAAATTAACATTCATAACTTATCTTTATAATCGGGAGAATTGACATCCATGTATTATGTATATATGATACAATTAAAAAATGCATAATGGAATTAAGTAAAAGCATTGAAAACGATAATAGTGGCTGAGCCTGAAAACACATTGAATATTTTTATTTGTTTATAGATTGTGAAGATTCCATAACCACCTGTTTCATCTTTCACATTTCCGCATCTATAAGAATATTGGCTAAAAAATCAATTCAATATTCATACTATTTTGGATATAAAGATTATAAACAAGCTAACAATGAGGGATAAACCTGATTTGTGTCGTCTGAATTCTGATACATAACTGATTTATTTGAAAAATATCTGTCACCACTCGATTCTTTATTTAGTTTTATACTACTTTCAGAAACATTTAGTTTTTGTCTTCTCTGACATGCTTCTACCACAAGAATCAAAAACGAATTCTCTGTTCATATAAGCAAAACCCTCGTAAACAATAACTCTCCCAATAAACAGAGTAAATACTTGAACTGACCAAACGATATAGTGAATGATAGTGTGATAATTTAATTACCATTCAAGTCTAACAGGACAACTTACACACAAAAAAATCAAATTTGGATTTTAAAACTTTTTGGGGTTAGAAGACAGTATGGTGTTTGTCATGGATTTATTCAACTGCAAGGATTTCAACGATCATCATAAAAGCGTTGTCTCATCCTTTGGATTCAATACTAAAATTACAGAAAAAACAAAAATGGCAAACTAGATGGCTAGGTGCGGTGTGTATGGAAAGTATAAACGTTTGCTTCGGATCATGGGCTATCAAATTTAGT